GGGGAGGAAGGGAGGGGACGGAAAAAAGGGAGAAAAGTAAAAACGAAAGCAAAGCAAAAGAGCCGCGGCAGCGAGAGGCTCCCGCGGCGATGCCGCCTCCCCGCGCACCGCCCGAGCAAATGGCGGCGGGGGCGAGTTCCGGCGCCTAAAACCCGCCCCCCACCCGCCCTCGCCGCCCCCGCCCCGGCCACCTGACGGGCCGCCGCTCGCCACACCTTGCCGGGCCCCGCTCCGCCCGCCCCCCGGCCCCGCCCCGGCCCCGCCCCGGCCGCGCCGTTCAAAGCCGGCAGAGCCGCGCTCGTCCCGAGCTTGTGCAGGAAGCTCGTACCGGGATGCTGCGGGAGCGATCGGCGCGTCGGAGGACCGAGGCTGGCGAGGGAGCTCGGCAGGAGGAGCGGGACAAGGATCCGGACCGGGACCGCGACCGGAGGAGCGAGGTTGGCTTGGGGCTGGGATGGGGCTCGGCACCCGGACGGGGACCAGGATCGGTGCCGGGCTCATCCCAGCCCGGTCTCGCCGCCTGTACCCCCGGCAACGCGGGCGGGAAGAGCCGCTCCGGGGCGGGCGCTGGGGCCGAGCGCGGCGGGGCCGCTCGGCCGGGCTCTGCCGGGCCCTTCGGGGGGCGAGAACGGCGGCGCTTTCGTCGTGCAGACGCGGAGCCGGGGCTGGGACCGGCCGGGGCGCGGGGACACGCCGGGCCGACCCCGAGACCCCCGAGAAGGGGTGCCGCCCGCACCCCCAGCGGGATCGGAGCTCTCCCGCTCGGGCACCCCCGAGGCCACCGCACCCGCTCCCGGGGAGAACATCGCCCGCCTCCCCCTTCCCCGCGGCCGCGGGGGTTCCCGCCCGCAGGGTCCCCCGGGAACGAGGGCTCTGGGTCCCGCCGGGGCTCCGGCCACGGGCCCGCTCCGGCCGCGGGGAGCCGGGGGTTTGCCGGGGCAGGGAAGAACGAGGGCAGCCCTTTCCCCGTTCCTCCCGTGCTCCGGGACCCCGAGCAGAGCTGCCCGTCTGTCCCCGTGTCCCTGTGTCTGTCCTCAGGCGGCCCCAGGAGCTGGCACTGACCGTGCCGCGGGTCGGGCACAGGCTGCTCCCAGCTCTGCCTGCGGAACTTGGGCAATTACCCACAGCTGTTCTTTGCCCTGCCATCCATAAGGTGCGGCTCATCTGACACCTGCCAGGTGAGACCTGAGGCTCTCCTTCCTCTCCCCTGTTTCCTCGGCAACTCGCTCCCTCCCGGGCCAAACCCTCTGGTTTTTCAAAATCCCGTTGAAACATTTCCTCTTTATTTGCAGACGGGGAAGGTCCTGCCTGGGAGGGAAACGGCTACAGGGGAGGAAACCAAGAAATGTCCAACCGGACGGTGCTGCGCGAGTCAAAAGAGGGGCAAGAGCGCAGAGAAATAGAGTCAGGAAATGCGCTTTTATTCAATCTCGGCAGGAGCCCTTCGCAGCCCCGGGCCGGAGGGAGCGCGGCCGGCTGGGCTGTGCCCGGCTGGGGACGGGCACCAATTCATCACTGCCCTGCTCAGGGAGATTTTCCGGCCCTGCCCGGGATTCACCCAACGGCTGTAAAGGTGCTCGTGCGACAACCGAGCTCATTTCCAGGGATAAAAGAGCCAACCCAGTCCGGAGGGATCCCTCGCTCCGAGGCAAAGGCGTTGCTCGAGTGTCGCCGCCTGGTCCCGCCTGCGGGGGGGCGTCTCCTCCAGGTGAGCGTTTGGATCCCAAAATGCTGGGGGTGCTCAGGTCGGGGCCGCTTTTCGGGCCCGGAGTTGGACGGAGCCCTCGGCGGCTCCTGCTTCCCGCCAGGAATGTTCTCGGGGCTCCCTAGGCAGTCCCAGCTGGGCAGGGAACGCGGGCCGGGAGGACGCCGGAGCGACAGAGAGTGACCCAGCCCTGCTTGGGTTTCCTATTGCCAGGGGATGGAGGAGCTGTGCCCTGAAGCTGTGCCCTACAGCCCCCGTGGGGTGGGCACGGGGAAAGGGCTGCCCGCGGCTCCTCAGCCGGGGGCTGCTCTGAACGGGCCCCCTGAGATGCCTCACCCTGGACACGCCCCAGCGCCAGCCCAGAAGGACCCAGAGAATCCAGCCGGCCCTCGGCAGTGTCGGCACGGCGGGGCTGCAGAGCAGCGCGGGCAGCCATTCCCAGGGCCCACCTCCCAGAGCTCCCCCGCGCCCCCCGCGTGTGTCCCGCCCGCCCCAAATCCCTGCCCTTCCAGCCGGAGGCCAGCAGCCAGCAGCAGCCTTAAAGCCAGGGCCATGTGCCCTCAGCGGCACTAAATCCCGAGCGAGAGCCCTCGGAGATGCCTGAAAGGAAAAGGGGGTGCTTGGAGAATGTTGGGCTTGGATGCAATTCGCAGTTTTTCGGGGACCCAACCGCAACCGCAGAACCCGTGGACAGCTGGAACAGGTGGGGCAGAGCCGAGGTGCCCTGAAGGCAGGGATGTGCATCCCTTTCCTCGGGGAAAAGAACTCCCCGGGGCCGCTCCCGAGGCTCCGAAGGGACAGCGGCTTCCCGGCCGGAGAGACGTCCTCGCCCGTGCTCAGGGGCTGCCTCGCCCCGGGCCGGGAGCGCGTCCGGCCCCCGCCTTCTCCCGGGCCAACACATCCCCTGGAGCCCGGCCCGGGGCGGAGAATCGGCCCAATTCCAGGGAACTCGCTCAAGTCCCCCCGGGACACCAGCGGGGTTGGGGAAGGAGGGTTATAAACAGCAAAGCCTGTGGAATATCAACCTGTCCTTGTCCCGATCCCGCTGAGCAAACCTGGAACCGCGGCTGCTTCCCGGCAAACCTGGCATTAAAGCAGCAGCTCTGCGGGGGAAGATCCGGGCTCCAGGAGGCACTGGGAGGCTGTTCCAGCAGGAATTCCCCATGGAATTGCGGGCTGTAGGTAGAATTCATCCAAACCTGCAAAGCTGAGACCGGAACCCAAACCTGGGCCCCGCAGAGAACGATCTTTGTGCTGCCCTGTCGGCCAAAGCTGCTGCACTGAGAGATCTTGGCAGCCTGAGGGAGGGCATTCTCTGCATCCCAGCAACCTCCATCTCCCAAGGGGACAATCCAAGTCCCAAAAGATTCCTTTTGCCTTTCCACAGGGACACTGACCCTTATTTGGTCCTGCTCTCCCACGGTTCATTTTGGGGGATGAGTTTGTGCTGGTTTACATTCCCCGACTCCACCCACAGCTGGAGGTTTGGGGTTGTGGTTCTCTACTGCCAGCAGGTTCCCTAAGGAGCCAGATACTCCAACAATCCCCTCGTTTGACTTTCTAGGTGAATTGTGCACAAGCCAGTCCCCCGTTCCCTATCCAGGCTGGGAGTGCTCGTGCCCTTGGCACAGTTGGCTCTGGCTGGGCAGGAACTGAGAGCAGGACACGGGGCAGAGCGGATCAGCTGCCCAGGGAACCTCCAGGAGATGAAGCTACGGGATCCTCATTCCAATCAAGGGAACACATTCTGCCTCTGGCAGAAGCCGGGAGCCAAAGCAGATCCCACCGGGCCAGGCTGGGGCAGCAGTTGGATCCACTCTGGGGGAAAGCCCCTGTGCCTGCCAGGAGCTCTGACTCTGTTTGTCCTGCCAGCTCTGACCAGTGTCAGGGCCACTGGGAGGGATTCAGAATCCAAAGAAACCCCAAATCCTACCGCAGGATTCAATCAAAGGAAGGAAGCCCTTATTGTCATAAAAAGCTTAAAAACCTGTTCAAAATTCTAGGACAGCAATCCTGGGATTCCCGGGAAACTTAGTAGTGCTCTTGGTTCCATTTCAATGTATCTGTAGTCCCTCAATGAGCAGCTTGGAGAACTTCCCCTGGGATTTAGAGGCTGAGCAGGGTTTGCTTTGGATTGCCTGGTACCTCTGGCCCCAGCTGGTGCAAACACAACTTGGTCCAATGTGGTTAAACACAGTTTGCTAGGCAAACAGTTGCTGTATCCCCTAGAAATTACCCCAAGTGTGTAGATAAAACCTTCATCTCTGTCCCTCCTCAGTTATCCCAGGTTTTCCTGGCTGGGAGCCACACAGAGGCTGTAAATTCAAAGGCAGAAAGAGAAGGTCTGTCAGCAAAAGGCACAAAGAAGGGGACAGGTTTCAGAAAACATTTCTGCAATCCAATGAATACCTCATTGAGTACCTCATTTATCCTTCAAAATATTCATTCTCTGCCCTGGACATTCCCTCAAGTTTTACCCCCAAAGGTTTCCCCTCCTGCCCACCCCTGACTGCCTCAGTGTCCATCAGGAGGCACATCCTCTCTGCTACAGGTGACCTCACACTGGACCCACTGCATTTTCCCGACCTCTCCACATCTCAGCAACTCACTTCTACATCAAGATGTTCATTCTCTACCCAGCAGACCCCCTCCAGGTTACTCTCAACACTTTCCCCACCTCTCCACCACCCAGGAACTCATTTTCACCTCAGAAGAGTCACTCTCTGCCCTGCAGATTCCCACAAGTTTTACCCCCCAAACATTTTCCCTGGAGGTCTGCAAGGTTTACCCCAGTTTACCCCAGGAGGTGCATTCTCTCTCCTCCACATGACCTCTGATTTTACAAAGAGAAATTTTCCCTCCCTGCCCACCACTGACTGCCTCACTGGACCTCAAAAGGCTCATTTTCTCCCCTAGGTGACATCCACACTTACCCTCACAGTTTTCCCTGCCTGCAAACTACTTATTACCTCATTTTTACCTCCAAACATTCATCCTCTGCCACAGAGATGACCTCAAAGTTTCCCCCAAAACCTCCTTACCTGTCCACTACTGATTACCCCAGTTTACCCCAGGAGGTGCATTCTCTCTGCTGCACATTACCTCAGCTTTGACAAACAAAGATTTCCCTCCCTGCCCACTACTGACTGCCTCACCTTACCCCAAAATATTCATTCTCTCTGGGACAGATTGCCCCACATTTTACTCCCAACATCTGCCTTACCTGTCCACGTCTGACCAGCTCCTTTGTACCTACAGAGGGTCATTCTGCACCCCACACACACCTCAGGCTTATCTCAAACCTCTCCCCACCTGTCTGCCACCGAGTGCCTCATCTTTACCTCAACAGATTCCTTCTCTCCCCAGCAGATCACCTGAACTATAACACCCACAATTGTCTGTGTCTGTCACCACTCACTACCTCAGGTTACCTCAGTGTGTTCATTCCCTGCCCTGCAGAGAATGAACCTCCTTTTTAACCCCCAAACTTTCCCCTTCCAGCCCACTCCTGATTACCTCTTTTTGAACACAAAAGAGTCATTCTCTCCCCAGAGTCTTCCCTGCTGCACACTCCTGATTACCTCTTTTGGACCTCCAAATATTCATTCTCTGCCCTGCAGTTTTGCTCAAGGTTCACACTCAGAAATTTCTCAGAAATTTCTCAGCCTCTCCCCCACTGACTGCCTCACTTTGTTCCAAAATGTTCCTTCTCTCTGCTGCACATTGCCACAGATCTGACCCCCACAATTTTCCCTACAAGTCCACCACTGAGTACCTCACGTTCATCTCTCAATATTCATTCTCTACCATGCAGATTACCTCAGATATTTCCCCCCCAATTTTCCCTACGAGTCCACAACTGATTACCCCAGTTTACCTCAGGATGTAAATTCTCTGCTCCACGTGACCTCAAATTTTACAAACAGAAATCTTCCCTACCTGCCCACCACTGACTGTCTCACTTCACACCAAGATATTCATTCACTCTGCTACAGATTGCCCAGATTTTACTCCCAAAATTCTCCTTACCTACCCACATGTAATCAGCTCCTCTGTACAAATACATGTTCATTCTCTACCCTGTGGACTAACCCAAGTTTACCCCAAAACACTCTCCAACTGTCCACCACTGAGTATTCATTTATCCTTCAAAATATTCAGTCTCTGCCCTGGACATTCCCTCAAGTTTTACCCCCAAAGGTTTCCTTTCCTGCCCTCTGTTGACTGCCTCAGTGTCCATCATGATCTGCATCCTCTCTGCTCCACATCATCTCTGATTTTACCAACAGAAATTTCCCTACCTGCCCACCACTGACTGCCTCACTTTACCTCCAAATGGTCATTCTGTCCTCTACAGATGAGATCAACTCTTACCCCCAACATTTCCCTTCCTCTACATCACCCATTTTCTCTTCCCGACACTCCAAATTTCCATTCCATCCCTACACATTCCCTGAGTGTTTCCCTCCCAAGCATCCTTCCCTTCTTCCCTCTTTAAGAACTCACACTCCAGCCCCAGGCTCTCCACTCCCCCCTCAGTGGGACCCCTCCAAAATGCCACCTCCCTCCCCTCTGCAGCACCTCACCTTTTCCTACACAAACAGTTGCTGGGTCCCCTCGAAATTACCCCAAGTTGGCAGCTACAAATGTCACCTCTGTCCCTGCCATGTTCTCCCAGGTTTCCCCAGCTGGGAGCTGCAAGGAATTCAGGCCAGTGAATGGACATCAGGGAACAGCTGTACATGCAAAGGCAGAAAGAGAAGATCTGTCAGCAAAAGGCACAAAGAAGGGGACAGGTTTCAGAAAACATTTCTGCAATCCAAGGAATAACTCTTTCCAGTTTCCCAGGGAGAAGAACAGGAACTCACAGCCACCAAGGCCTGACAGTGCCCTGCAGCCAGAGCTCAGCACACACCCAGAGAGGCAATTCCAGCATCTAAAAGAAAAAAAAAAAAAAAGAAGAAAAATTGATTTATTTTGTTTTAAAGTTACTTTAGGTTGTTCCAAGCAAAGCAAGCCTTGCTTTGGTTTCAGTTGGGTGAACAGTGAGCGGTGGGCACAGGGCACGTCATTAATGCCCAGGGGATGGGGCTTTGTGGGGGAAGAGCAGCTGATGGAGTTGCCCAGTGCAATTCCTGCCCAAGGCCTGACTGGCCCAGGACAAACCCTCTGGCAGGCAGTGGTTTTGTTCCCTCTAATGGTCAGTGCCCCGTGTGTCCCTGTGGGCAGTGCCAGGCTGGGGACAGGCACACAGAGCTGGCAGCACTCTCTGCTCCAAAGACACTTCTGGGCTCCTTAGCAAACTGCCTCTGACACTTGGTTTTCTCCAGAAGAAATTAAGGAATTGCTCATGGCACTTTGGAGATGAAGTTATCCCAAAGGGAAGGAAAGAACAAATATTCCTGTCAGAGCCCTTGGCATCTGCTGGGCTGAATTGGGAAGGGCCCCTTATCTGCAGAGCAAATACAGGACAACCTCAAACACAAAGCCCAGACTGTCAAGTGAGGTGTGAAAGCACCACTGGGACAAACCTCCACTCTCCTGATTCTTTTCAGGGACTGCTCCAATCCAGCTCTGAAGCTGCCAAGCCCAAACTGTCCCCAGCGCTCTGGAACAACAGGATCTTCCCAGGGATGATGTATTGGAAACACAGCCCTCATTCTCACCCTCCACACGCTCCCAGGCTCACCCCAAATTCAGGACAAGGGGCCAAAGGCCACTCGGGCCAGGGCTCTCTCTGTCTCTGCGGGCTCAGGGACTGCAGCCACCAGGGCCCTCTAGCACGGACAGCCTGGACCCAGAGCAGATCCCTGGGGATTAGCAGTGTCCTGGGCATCCCTGGAGACAGAAACCATCAGCCTCTGGGATAGCACTTCATTGCCAGCACACACAGCCTGCCAAATTTAGGGCTGCAGCTCTCGGACCACAAAGCCCAGTCTGACCCAGTTCTCCTGGGCACCAACAGGGACTCCACAAACCCACAGGAATGACAATCTTCTGCTGCTTTGACAAACTTCAGCCCAGCTTTGCAAACCTCAGTCCCTGCAGCTCCTGCTCTCCAGAGCCCCGTTCAGGGCTGGCTCCAGTTCCCTGGAGAACCTGCCCCAGCCCCACTCTGGGCCAGCCTGAGCAGAAGCCACTGGGCTGCACAAGGAAGAACCCTCCCCTGGCTGCTGCAGCTGGAGGGAGATCCAGCTCCCAATGGAACCCTGGGAACAGCCTCCCAGATGGTCTCTCCCCAGCCCTTGGCAGTGGCTCAGAATGGCAGCAGCTCCAGTGCCAGCTGGGTCCCTGCACGAGTCCTTGTCCCAGCCCTGCCACACGGACACACACGGGAGACACCCACGGGCACACAGGCCTTGCTTGCACAATTCCTCACCCACAGCTGAGGGAAAGCCACAAGACTAAGAAATAGCCTGGGCTGAGAGCACTCATCACTCCAGTCCATCAGGACTTGGAGGCAGTTGGGTAGGCAACAGACCCGAATTCTAATCCTACCTCTAAATTTCTAACAGGTTCTCTTAGAACGATCCTGGACAGGAACTCAGACAACAGAACCCATAGACTGCACAAGCAATAACAGAAGGTTTGCCATGAAGAACAGGAGTTCCTTGTTTTCCTTAACACTGCGGGACTGGAGGACCCAATCTTTGCAACCAAGGGACACCAGAGATGTGATTAATACTTAAACCTCTCCCCCATGGTTCTGTCTCAGAGAACTGGGCCAGCCCTGAGCTACTCCCAGGTGCCTGCAGTGCTTTGGGGAGGGGCAGGACGATGTCCCACTTCTGCTTGGAAACATTCCAGATGAGGAAAAGCCACTTCCCTTCTCTCTTTCTGACCCAGAACCAGAACAGTCCTGTAGGACAACACGGACTATGCACAGAAGGCCCGAGTCAGTGGGGGAAAAAGCCTAAACAAACCAAACCACCCCAAATTTCAAGATAAAAACATGTTGCTTCCTTAACAGGAGCACACCAAACTCATTGAAGCCAGAGAGGAAATTACAAACAAACAAATAAACAAACAAAAGACCCAAAAAGATGCTTTGCAGGGATACATTCCCTGCTTGATCATTCCAAAGGAAATTCTCCACAGATCAGAAGCAAGTACCAACACTTGCTTGTCCTCTGTTGAAAATTAATGACTTGAGGGGCTGGACATGTCCAGTGAGGGTTCAGGGGTCTGGTGGGTCCTTTCTGGCTGATCCTGACCGGCCCAGGCCAAACCCAACCACCCCCATGGCTGCTCCATCCCAAACCCAGGGACAACATTCAGACAGTTTGGAAATACTCCCCTTCCCTGCTACTCCGTCCTTCCTTACACATCCAGTGCCCAGGGAGCAAATGCCAACAGGCAGGAGGAGAGAAAGGTGTCCCTCTGACTTACCCCACCCCACGGGCAGCACCAGGAGCCCCCAGCCCGGCCGGCGGGGCTGCAGCCTCTTGCCTTTGGCTGCTCCCAGCCCAGGGCACTTGGCAGAGCTGGGCTGGATCAGGGCTTTGGCCTGGCCTGGAAGAGAGGAGAACAAGGCAATTAAGTGCACTGGGCAAGTCAAAGGCTCCTGCCCTTCACCCTTCTCTTCAATTGCTCACTAGAGAGTTTGAGCCATGAAAAATCCAGGGGGGACAACAAATGAAACGTGGCCTTTTCCAGCATCTTTATTCCTCTCTACTTCAGGCACTAAAAGGAGGCTCATCTTTCTTACTGCATTCCTTGCCCCATTTGAACAGAACCTTCTTCACTCCAAACCCCCCTTGGGAGTTAGTCAATCCTCTGCCACTGGACTTTGGGCAAAGGAAGAGACACCTGGGATGCTGGAGCCCAGGAAATGAGGGAGAGGAAGCTGACAGGGAGAGGATTCGAGGCACTCCAGAACTCAGAAATATGTTCATGCCTTGCCAGCCCACCCCAATTCTCTGCCACCCACCTGAGCTGGGCAGGTGAGGCCAAGGCTCCCCTTCCTCCTGCCAATCACTGTCCCAGCACACGGATCCCCGTGCTGGGCAGCACTTGGAAAAACTTGGGAAAGGCAAAAGGAAAATGGCACTGCCTGTCAGAAAACAAGTGTCCGTGAACAAACCTTCTGGACAAATTTAATCCCATCCCTCTGCTCCAATAAACACAGGGCAGGCAGGTCTCTCCAGCCCAGGGAGAACAGGAAGGAGAACTGCAGGAACACAGGCAGGCACAGGCAGCTCTTGGCACTGATTCCCTGCAGACCTCTCTGCACCTGGGGCTCTTGGCACTTCATTTATAAAGAAGGGGGGGACAGCAGCCCAGGAATGCCCCTCAAAAATAAGGGCCTGGGCAGCTGGAGATTAGAGGAGGGGAGTTGGGAGGGGAGACACAGAGAGAGAACAGGAACAGGGGTTGTTTGGGAACAGGCTGGGTGTCCAGCAGGGAGGGGAACTGGAAACACGGGAGGCTGGAGGAAGGCAGGGGGTGAGCACGGGCCTGCCTTGGATGGATCCTTTTTCCCTTTCCTCAGGGGCCTCAGCTCCACCCTCTCTGAGAGCAGCAGGGAACTGCTGCAGGGGAAGAGTTCCTTTAGGCACAAGGCAGTGATGCAGCCACTGGGGCAGGGGAAGAGGGGACAGGAACTGAGAGCAACTGACACAAAAATGACACAATCACCACTGAAAGGGACTTTATTGAGCTGCAACACAAACACATTCACAGCACACCAGGGCCAGAGGTGCCCACAGCACCACCAACACAGCAGCTGGGCTTGCAGGAACACCATCTACTCAAGTTATGGAGCCAGGGGCTGACAGTTGGGATCCATCCGAAAGATGCACTCAGGCAGCAGGGCCAAGTCCTGCCCAGTCACTGCACAGTTCAGCCCCAGCAGCAGTGGCATTTTCTGCCTCTCCCTCCGCTATCATTTGGGACCCAACAGTTCAATGCTGGGGAATTTTAGCTTCATCAATGTTTTACAAAGTTGTGCTTCCTGAGAACTGGTGCATTTTTGAGTCTTCCTGACTCTTCCAGTGCTGCACTTGCCAGGATCCTTTTGGCCTGCTGTTTTGCTGACAGACAGGGCACTCCAGGAAACAACTTCCCCCCACTCATGGAATAATAGGAACAGCTTAAACAAACCCACTCCAACACCTGGGACACAGATTTAGGGGATACAAAAGGAAATGAGCAAGGCATCCCCTCCTGACTGCCCCAGAGACAGAACTGTGGCTCAGCAGAAATGCCTCCCCCACGGCCCCCTCCGCTCCCCCCCAGCCCACACGGCAGCCCCGGGGCAGCCGATCCCGCAGGCTCCGGCACCGGGACAATTCCTGCGGGTGCCTCCACCCCAGGGGAGGCTGCGGGGCGGCTCCAAGGGGGTCCCGCTGGCCAGGCTGTGCCCAACAAAGCCGGCTTTAGGCCAGGCCTGGCACTGTGGGGCCGTGGGCACGGGCAGGTTCCGTGAGCTCCCCGTTGGCCACCCCTGGAGCGCTGGGCAGGCGCCCCGGCGGGGCCAAGGGTGGAGGGCACGGAACAGCTGCACACACCTTGGCTGCCTTTGCCCAGCACACACTCACTGCACCTGCAGCCTTTAGCCAGGGCCCCTGAGCACACACAGCCCTTACCCTGCTCCTCAGGGCCAGCAGCCCCGGGGCTCAATTCTCAGCCAACTTCTCATCCTTTCCTTTGCTCCTTTGATCCCTGGGCAGGGCAGAGACACGGGAGAAGCACCTTCCTGTCATTGATCCCAGAGACAGCAACTCTGTTGTTCATAAAGTCAGTACAATAATTACTGGGATTAGTGGATGGATTAAAGGGTTCAAAAACTTTGTAGCAGGTGGTGAGAATCCTGTAAATATGTCCCACCAGCGGGGAGCAGGGAGTTGTTCTAACCTGATGCCCAAAGGTCACTAATTGACCCCTATAGTTACTGTTTGCATTTGGTGATCAAGTCAAGTCTTATTTCAAATTTGCAGGGCAATAATTTGCACTTACATACAAAAATCCCTGGTTTACTTACACTGAAGTGTGTTATTTTTCCACCACGATATCAGTCGGTGCACTGCAGCAATTCAGGAGACAAAATCCAGTTAATTTTTGCAATCCAGGATGTGAATACTGTCCTCCAGATCAGTTCATTGGTACCCATTAAGTCATTCTGTGCCTTATTGCTTTGTATTACAATATACACACTGTGGCATGTGCACTCAGCCCAGTTCATAAATTACTGCCCAACAGTTGGACCAATATTCTCCTCCGGAGGATGATGCCCAACTGTGCCATCCCCTGCCCAAGCTGATCCCTTTGCTCTTTTGACAGCACTGACCCAGAACAGCCCAGCAGGCAGAGCCCAGGGGACAGCCCTGCTGCTGTGACACTGTGGCTGGGACTGGCACCGCTCACACAGGGGGACAACGATGCCAGGGAGACCCCCCGGACCCAGCACCGTAAGGGAAACTACAGCACTGCATGGCAACAGTGCTCCCAGCCCCTGGAATCACATCCATCCAATCCCACCGAGGGCACCAACAGCCGCCCACACAATGAGCCCAACAGACCCCGGCCCTGCCACAGAGTCCCCCCGGGCACAAAGTCAGACTGACCCCTGGGCAAGGGCCATTTGCTTCCCGGGTCACCTTGTCCTGGGGGCCTGTTTTGGAGCTGCTTTTCCATCTCCATCCAAATCAAACCAAGTCACCTGACCCAGGCACCTTTTCCAGGGCACTGCCCAGGCCAACAGCATTGCCCAGAGGGACCACGAGGGTTCTGAGGATGGCCAGGATCCAGAGTTTCTGTAAGATAGCAAGCTAAAACATGGGAAGATCATTCCCTCCATTAACATTTATTCACAGGAATATATTCCCATCTTCCTTGTCTGCATTTAATCACTGATTCAGTGAGGGTGTCACTTGGGAGCCAAGCAGCCAAACCACTGCCACCTGACCCCAAATCCCTACAAACCTGACACTGCCCTAGTTCTTCCTCTTTAATTCCCACAGGTCCAGTGGCTCACTCAGCACATGGACTACTTTTGCCTCCCCCCATCGTGACTCTGGCACGGGTTATAAGCTCCTGCTTTCCAAAAGTGCTTCCCACTGACAGATGTGGTTGACCCAGCAGTGAGCCATGCATGCTCCCTCTCTTCTCCCAGCACTTGCTTTAGGGCTTTTCCCCATTTCCCAGTGATTTGTGCTCACTGTCAAGGGGATCTACACTTGCTGCTTCAACCACAGGGCCGTTGGCAACTCCCTCCCGAGGCCTCGCTCCTGCCCCGACCCCTGCTCTGGCTCTGGCTTGGATCCACCATCTCCATTCCATGGTGCTGCCTTCCTGAGCATGGCCTGGCCTGTGCACCCTGGAGGAGCTTTTTACCCAAGGCCTTAGGGGGATTTCAGGCCCTCTTATCATTTGTTGTTCCCACTAAAGCCCAATAACATACTCAGAGCCACTTCTCCAACAGGGTCTATCTTGGGCTGGCTTCCAGTAACTTCCTATTCCCAAATCCTGAGGGCACTTCCTTCCTACCTGTAACAGTTCGTTGGGATACATGCCCGGAATAAAGACAAGTGCCACAAACATTCAAACACACAAAATATCTTTATTGCAGTGAGAATAATAATAATAATAATAATAATAAACTTAGCAAAGAGAATCAAAAGTTAAAAAAAGGATACAAATGAACTACCTTAGCATGTGGCATTAAAACAAATACTAAGAACAGCATTCAATACAGTATAATATTAACTAGTAAAAAGGGAGTCAAAGGGATACCAAAAAGGATCTTAACACAATATTATGGATCACTATTAACACGCTATTTGGTTAGTAAAAGGGGAAATTAAAGGGAAAATATTATGAATACTAAATAAAGGGTATTAAAGGAACACTAAAGGATATTTAAAGTCTTCCTTCTCGGTGGCTTCCCATCACTAAACTCTGCCCACCCCCCAGACAGGCAGGGCTGTCAGGATCTGCAGCAGCTGGTCGGTGCCCATCCCTTGGCGGGCGTCCCCGCGGAGCAGCACAGGCTGGGTGGCAGGATGAGGATCGCTCAGCTCAGCAGTCCTGACAGCCCATTTTTATCAGCTCCACATTACACCACGTAGGGCCAGGACGCAGTGTAAGGGGAGGCCTGAATGGCAGCCAAACCCCGCCTGAGCATTGCCTGATGGCAACAGTCTGGGCCTGCCCTACTTGGAGGGCAAGGGGCCAGCGACCCCTGCCCACAGCATCTTCCTCTCACCATCATCTTCCTCACCCCTGGGTATGACCTCTACCCTTGTGTTTCAAGGGCAGAGGTATCTATCTGGCAATATGTAGCAGAACCAAGGAAGAACTCAACTCTCAGAACAGGGGATATCAGGCTGACTTGCTGAAAAGCACAATGGACCCTACAATTAGCTTGTGCCATCAAGTTACATTGTACCAGACTCTAGCTGGTTTCACATCCTAATAGGATTTCTTTCTCACACCTCTATGCTCCACTGATCACCTAATTCAAAAGTTCCCCCCTTACATTACCCTACTTCTGCCAGAGGCTCCAAGGGGCATCATTAGCACTGGCAGGAACCTTTAGTTCCCCCTCTCTGGCTCGTATTGGCCACAGGTCCGGAGCCTGTTGAATTGCTCCCTGAGCTGTTTCAAACGCTCCTGGCTGCTCCTTTCCCACTCAAACTCACACTTCTGTCCTGGGACTTTACGGCACGGGCCAAGGATTGGTCCCAAAGGAGGACCTTCTTGTCACCAAAAGCCAAACAAACCAATAAACTGCTGGGCTTCCACCTTGCTCTGGGGGTGACAAAGCCTCAAGTCACTTGCCTAGTCCTGGGCAACACTTCCTGGGGACCACAATGCCACTGAGTTCCTAAAAATATCACAGGTTGGGGAGGTGCTTGAATTCTGTCTGGATTAACTCCCCCCCTTTCTTTCCATGTGCTGCACTACTCACTCTAATGGTGCTTGTACTCCCTGAACCAGTCCCTCACCCATCCAACCATCCCTTGTCCCCTCTCTGACAAGGACAGTGGGTCCAGGTGTTCTGCCACACTCCCAGGGCAGAGGGTGGGACTGTGGAGCCACCCTCGAGGGGGGAAACGTGCCCAGGGAAAGGGAACTGCCCTCAGTGTTCCCCAGCACAAGGCAGCCCTTGGAAATATCCACTGCAATGGGACACTCAGGGACAGCAACAAGCACTGCACGAGGCTGCTCTGGCACAGGACCAATTTGAAGCTCAGCTTTTCTCTGGACCACTTCACTTGGTTTCCCACCTCATCCTGCAGTCAAAACTTGCTGCCCTTGCAACTTTTTAGGGTGACCATAAATTAGAGGCCTCTGCTCCAGCACCCACAAGGGCCTGAACCGTCTGACAGGATCCATTTTTCCATGGAATTCAAAGCTCCACCTGAGGACCAGGGTCTTTTCTCACCCATCCTTCTGCTGGAGCTTGGCCTCCATCTCACTCTGCTTTCAGTTCTTTCCAGGGTTACAACATTTGCAGCCCAGGCCCTGGGTGGAGCTCGGCATCCTGATCCCATCCCTCCTGGCCCCCGGAACCGCTGACTCAGCAATGGGGGCCCTCCATTGCCAAGGGCACGGTCCCGTTGGGGCTCACGGTGGGAGCAGGAGGTCGAAGGCTCCATCCCTCCTGCTACAACCTTCCACCACTACAGCCAACAGAGGAGCCTCCCCAGCCCTGCCTCCCAAGGCATCCTGAGCAAACCCAGCCCAACTCCACAGGACAAACTGCTCCCTGTCTGCCCAGCCCAGTCTAATCCCAGAGGCTCCCAGATCATGCAGAAGAACTACTCAGGAGATCAGAGACTCCAGTCCATCTCTTCCTAGCACAGGTTTGGGTGAGTTTGGCAAA